ATACCAGGGGTTCCTGCCATGGCGGTCCTTGTTTAGGCACTTCCTGTTATAGTGCTACAATGATCTGACTCCGTCTACCAATATTGTTTGTGTTGTCACTCTGTCACACAGGCTTCCAATAGAGATTACAAGTAGTTGTTTCAACACACATTATGAATACATGGTCCATCGTTGTCACCATTAGAGGATGCCATGCAGACATCAGTAGAGTAAGTAAGCCAGGCAAGCAATTTTATTTCTTGAATATTCTTATGTAGGTTTTCCCAACCTACAAAAAATCAAAAAGGAATGCTTAAGCAATTCTCTATTTTTGATCATTATTTGTAACTACAAAACTATAAATAAAGCGCATGAACTGATGTCAGGTGCTATATACAGCACTGTTCTAAAATAAATCAGCACTTTGGCTCATATTCATAATTCTATTTCTGGAACACTTGAATTTTGTATTAAGGTTATTTTGTGCTGGAAAAATTACTTCTAAGTCACTAAATGATGTTTACCAATTAGAAATCACAGTGCTCATGTATTACTTCCTGTGTGCAATTGGTGCTACACAGTTGTTTCCTTACATGTGTAAGAAAGTATATCCCCAAAAAAGAGTTTGCCTCAATATAACCCCCTGTAGAAAATTACACATATATATCAAGAAAGGTTTGAAGAGTTTAATGAGATGCCATGACCATTGCACAAGTAAAATAACAAAGAAGTTTATTTATACATATTTAAATATATTCAAACAAGATTTACAAGATTTCAGTAAAAGGTAAATTTGGCATAAAAACATGATTGCCCCCTTAACCACTTGAAGTCTGCTGTGTTTACACCCCCTTCCCATCCAGGCCATTTTTCAGTATTCAGCGCGGCGGTACTTTGATTGACATTTATTCCGTCATGCAGCGCTGTACTGAAATGAATTTTATACCATTTATGGGGGGACAGATAGAGCTTTCTTATGGTGTTATTTAATCACCACTACGGGGGCTTTATTTTTTACTATATATTAAGGAAAAATTACCAATTTTTTTAAAAAAAAAACAGTTCCCCCTATATTAAATGATAAAACATTTATTATTACCCAATTTTATGGTAAAATATAAAAGACGGGGTCACGTCGGGTAAAAAGACACCAAACATGTCTAGCCTTAAAATTGCACGCACGCGTGAAACCTCAAAAAACTACAATACCCAAAATTGGCAATAGGTGACACTTATAAAGCTTTTACCGCTCATCAGTTTAGTGTTATCAGTGATTGATGGCCCTAAAATGATTGCTCTCACTCCAGAGTTTGCAGCAATATGTAACATGTGTAGCGCAATTGTCGTTTTCACAAAATTACGCAGCTGAGGCATATTTAAGTTTATATGTGCATAAATGTGGGGGAC